GGAAAATGTCATGGGTATTTTGCATTGAATCTGTAGATTGCCTCAGGTAGCGCGGTCATCGTAACAACATTAGTGCTTCCAATCTAAGAACAGAGTATATCTTTCCATCTGTTTTTGTTAGTTTCAGTTTCTTTCATTGTGTCTTACAGTGTTTCAAGTGCAGGTCTTTTACCTCCTCGGGTAGCTTTATTCCTGGGTATTTTATTCTTTCTGATGTGATGGTAAATGGGATTGTTTCCTTATTTTCCTCTTTTTAATCTCTGGGCCTTTGTACACATCTTTTTCTACCTGGAATGATCTCCTCACAAACCTTGCCTAGAGAACTCCCACTTACATTTAGGTTTTCTTTTCAACGTCTTGCAAATCAAAACCACAATGAGATGCCACCTTACACTGTCAGAACGGCTGTCACCATAAAGGTGACAAATAACAAGTGCTGGTGGGGATGTGGAGCAAAGAGAACACCTGTGCTCTGCTGGTGAGAATGTAAATTGGTGCAGCCACTATGGAAAGCAGCATGGAGTTCCCTCAAAAAATTAAAAATAGAACTCCCATATCATAGGGCAGTTTTACTTCTGCCCTGTGAAGAAAATGAAAACACTAATTTGAAAAAATATATGCACCCCAGTGTTCACTGCAGCATTATTTACATTAGCCAAGAAATGGAAGCAACCTAAATGCCCATCAGTACATGAATGGATAAGGCAGATGTGATGCATATATGCACATATATATGTGTATATATGTAAATGTGTGTATGTATATATACACACATATACAATGTATATATGTTGTATATTTGTATATATGTATATATACATATATACTATACACAATGGTATATTACTCAGCCATTTCAAAAAAATGAAATCTTGCCATTTGCAGCAACATGGATGGATCTAGGTGGTGTTATGCCATGTGAAATAAGTGAGAGAAAGTCAAAAATCATATGATCTCATTTCTATGGGGAATCTAACGAAGAAAAGCAAAACAAAACAAAATGAAAACAGATTGATAGATACAGAGAACAAACGGGTAATTACCAGAAGGGAGGGTGGTGGGGGCAATAGGTGAAGGGGATTAAGAGGTAAAAATCGACAGTTATAAAATAAATAAGCCACGGGCATGTACTGTACAGTACATGGAACATGGTCAGTAATGTTGTAGTGACTTTGTGTGGAGACAGATGGTCACTAGACTTACGGTGATCGTTTCATAGTGCACACAAATGTCAAATCACTACATAGTACACCTGGAACTACCATAATATTGTTGGTCAGTATGTTTCAATATTTTTTTCCCTTAAAAACTGGTTACGGTGGTAAATTTTAAGTTATGTGTATTTTGCAACAATAAAAAAAAAATGAGAAGAAAGTCATCTACTCAGGAGCACCCTGATCTTTTTCGTTTAACATTTGTAATGTGTGTATTTTTCTGCCAACAGTGCAGCTTTCTGACCCTTTCCACAGGTGCTGAAATAAAGCTGTTTGTGGGCTCAGTTCTGGAAATTCCAGATGTTACCAGCCCCACTCAGCAGGGTTTGACTGCAACCTGAGGTTGGAGAGCCTCCCCCTGACCCTGTGTGTCCCTAAGCTGGGAATGGGGGCACCGTCTGTGGTTTCTCTCGGAGGAGTTACTCTCCTGGGCCTGGAAGAGGCCCAGAGACCAGGAGGGAGGCAGGAGGCTCTCCTGGCTCAACTCTGGCCCCTCCAGGCCAGGCCCTCTCCCTGCGTCCTGCTGGCAGAGTCCTCCGACACCCCAGGTCCGATTTCTTCTCTCTAGGTCCCAGGCCCCTCCATTCACTGCTGAGCTCAGCAGCAGCGGGTGGGCGCCCCAATAGGACTGGGAGCGAGGCTGTGACGTCGCCCAGCCTCTGCAGTGAACCCAGCAAGGGTCTGTGGCTCCCTGGCCCCACAAGGGGCTCAAGGTCACACACCCGGCCGTGGTGGTGGTGCCAAGGGTCCAGCGCTCCATCTGGGCACAGGTCAGTACAGAGCAGTGGCAGCCAAGGGCCCCAAACTGAGAGAAGCTAGATGGGCAGTGGGCTTCGCAGAGGGTAGGAGTTGGCACTGGACTGAGGCTAGTGGCGCAGGGGTGCTGGTGGGGAGCCGTAGGCCATGGGGACACATGATGGGACCTGAGTGGGGAGGAGGGCTCCAGGGGGCTGAGCCGAAGCCTGGGCTCAGAATAGGGCCGGGGGTGAGCCCCAGGGTGGGTAGGGGCTGGGCTGCGGACAGAGGGCT